GACAGCCGTACTCCTCATTTTGTAGTTACGTTGCTTCTTTGGACAATGTTGAGCAGTGTGCTTAGGTTCTCCACAATATAAGCACAATCCTTCTTGTCGACGACGAGACTTTTCTTGCTCAGTAAGAGGTTTGAAACGTACCGCATCAATTTGCATATCCTCTACTTCTGAAGGTATGTGTTGAGGAGACGTCGGTGTTGCCATTGAATTGTAGTAACGTTGAGGCCTACTTGTGCGACTCTCGGATCGAAATTCAAAAAGTCGATTGTCGCACTTCACAGCAAAGTCAATTGCTTGACTCAATGTTTGAGGATCAGGTAAATTAAGCATCAATTTCTTTACCTCATATTGTAATCTGTAGAGAAATTGACTCACAAGTGCGGCATCATCCCACTTGATATCAGTTGCAAGTTGTCGAAATTGCGAAGCATATAATGTTACTGATCGATTGCCTTGTCGCAAAATATGGATCTTGTTGGTTGCAACACGAATTGCATCATGTTCTCCAAACATGGATCAAAACTCCGCCAAAAAAACCTCCAGATTATCCAATATTGGATCTCGTCGTTCAAGAAAAGATGAAAACCATGACAATGCTGAACCTGAAAGAAGTGTACCAATGAATCTAACTTGTGACCCTGGAGTTGGATAGCTCTGGGGTTGAAGTTCAATCACTAATTGGACCTGATTGATGAATCCTCGAAACTTGGATCTCGTACCATCAAACTTCTCGGGCAAGGCCACTCTCGGTTCTCTAACACTCGAAGGGTGTTCCATTCTGGGAGAAGGGACATGGTTTGGTGCAGATGTTGAAGCAGTCCCAATCATCTCTATATCTTCACTTCCTACCATTCTTGTTGCTCCTTGTGGTGGTAAATTGAGTTGATGCATCACAAGCATTAACTCCCTCAATTGTTCTTGCATCTGTGCCATTGCACTCTTCATTTCAACAAGCTCTGCCATAGTAGCACTTAGAAAAGAGAAGATGTCTAATAACGCTCAAAACAAATAGAAGAGAGGAATTGATAACAAAGAAAATACTAAGAACAATATCAGTTTAAAAGAGGGTAATCCGCAACTTCTAATGCGCTTATGTCTTATCAAGAAAAAAGGGTAATCCACTCTTAATCAAGAAAAGACAAAGCTCTCATATTGTAAGTGCACTCTTGTCAATCTGTCAAGGACAAGAACTCGATGAAAGCTAAAGAGTAAGTGAGACTTTTCTCAAAGAAATAGGACAAAATAGAAATATGTATATTAAGAAAGAAATTAGAATGGCTATTGCCAAAATACAAGAAAACTAGAGACCCTTGAAACTAGACTAGAAGCAAGAAAGGAGTTGACAAGAGTGAAGAGGGCTTCACTCTTGCCTCTATATATACTATCTAACTAGAAGCCATGTGGCGATGTTCTATAAGACCTCCAATATATGTTGACTTTCTAGGCCACATGCCTTTGCTTGCAAGGCAAGTTTTTTATGGATGGACCACGTAGTTAGCTTGTTCTTTAAGCTTCCAACATGTGTGGCACATGGCTAACTTGTTGACCAAGTTTCTAACCTAAAAGTCAACTATAGACTCCTATAAAGTCAAAGCAGCGTCTATGAAGCTTCTAAGAAGCTTCTCTAGAAGATATTACACAATTAACCTACTTTTATCTACTTTTACATACTTTTATCTATTCATATAGGTAATTATATGTATGTCCGTGACACATATTTAAGAGCCACCTTGAGTCTAAAAATTCTTTGACTTCATATTTTTGATTATTATCTAATTCTATAGGAAGAGATGACATTTGTCATTTTCTTAATGTATCTATTGTCATGTATGACTCAAAAAGAGGCACATAAAACATAGAATAAATCTTTATAGACTTTGGTAGATTTAATTAATAAGCAACTAGATTGATTTATTTACAAATATAAAATGGTTCAAGTCTATAATAATCCAACTTATAACAAGGGTAAATAGTCCTAATATTACAATAAAGTAACCATACCTTGTTGTCCATATGGAATTGAGGTTGTTTCATATAATAGGCATTTGTATTTATCTTTTGTTATACTTGAACATCTTTTAATTGTATCTTCTTTGTTGCATGTAGCTTTAACGAACAATTTATCAAATCTTCTATTGTAAGATTATCAATTTTTGAAAAGTCAAAAGTATCAAGTTATGGATGGTAATTATAATTATCAAAAAAAAAAAATTGAATAGAAGAATTATTATATTATTATAAGAAAACTTTAGCAATGAAAAAAAAATTAATTGTCTTAATAATAATTGATGGTACACCTCAAATATTGCTATAAAATTTGATTTATTTATTTTATTTATCTATCAATTTGAAGATGAAAATTCAAAGATAGTTTTATACCTATTTTTAATATCTTCAAAAAGGCTCTTGAAAACCTTGATACAAATTTAGTTTCTTTATCTGATATAATATCTCTTGAGAATTTGTAATAAGAATAAATATTGTCAAGAAAAAGTTTGGCTATTTTTTTACTTATGATAGATTTTTCACATATATAAAATATTCTATTTTGATGAATTAATATTTTAACAAAAATATATAATCAAAAGAACTTGTAATTAAAAGGTTTATGATAAAATTTATTAAAATGAAAGATCGTTGTTGTTTTGATATAAATAATAGCTGAAAAAGTCTACAAGTCTATATGACAAAAAAAAAATTGACCTTAAGAAAATGTTACATACTTTTATAAAGTTTTTAATTATCTTCTATATATGAGGCCATTAAAAGTCTTTAGATATTAGTATTTTATAGCAAACATTGATGGATATTGAAAAAAAATAGTCCAAGTATGTGAGCTAAAATGATGAATTTCAATTGAAGATGTTTCCACCTTAACATAATTTCATCCCTATTCTAACACCATTTGCCCTAATATTATCTATCCAAATTTCATCCAATGAAATCCAATTCTTACAAGAAAATATTCTTTGTATTTGATCTGCTTTGATGTCAAAGTTCACTCTAGTTAGGCTTCCTCTAGTTGTGGTAAGGCTCCTCGATGTAGAACAAAGCTTCTTCCCACCAACCTCTTATATAGTAGGAATCACTGAATAGATAATACAAGGACCTTCAAACATGAGCTTGATGAAGACTCAAATGTCAAATGAGAATCAATAGTCTTTTACTTCCTTATACTTACTAACCCTTTAATTTGTTGTGGGTTTAATTTCAATTCAAGTTGTTCTAATACTACTCACTTCATGTACTCTCTATTGCTACATGATGCCTTGAAAACCTTGTATCTACAACATTTGTGAAGAATAAGCAAGTCTCATAAATCTAATATTAATGGAGATGTGATCTTGATATCATGGTTTCATTAGATGAATCAATTGCAACAAGATTTTGAGCCAATTACTGTTATCTCTTTACAATTCACTCAGTCCATCCTTTGCACACAACCCATTATAAATCCCAATAACTGTTACTCCAAGTGTTCACAATTCTAATAATAGCTAGCCTTGAATATGAACCAAATAAGAAGATTGCAAAATTCTTAAACTAAGTTTGTAATTGCAATGTCACATTTGTTGTCTTCAACTTGTCCTATCCAAGAGTCTATCTACATGAATTCGTCAAGATTCCTCTTTAGCCTTCTAATATAATTAAAAAATTCAAAGACAACAAATTGCAAAATCATACAGATGCTATCTGACCACAAAGACATCATTGAATACTTATGACTTTGGTACAACAAAACTTAATAAATTCTTCTAGAAAAAGACAAAAAATTATGTCCTTGTGCTATAGAAGCTGTATATATCATTTGTATCCAATGCAAACAAAGATTATACACAAAATCACTTATCAAAATAAAAATATTTTTTAAAGCTTTATAAAAAAAAAAAAAAATGTGTTTATTTATTTATTTATTTGATGATAAGGCTAAAGTTGAAAGTTTAGATTTTTGGTTTTAAATCATTGCATTGATAAAAATATAACATATTTATATTTTTACTTTTTTTTAATTTATACTATTTAAAATTTTAAGAATATTTAAAAGAATTTTATTACTTTATTATTTGTATTTAGTATTATATTTGATAATCCATATTTCTATAGATTTAGCTTGGAATTAATATATTTTATGATAAAAAAACGTTTTAAGAAATAAACTATGTTTTTTAATGCTTGATATTACCAATGCTACAACTTTTAAATATAACCAAAATAAGTTATTTTGGTGTTATTTTTACTCTTTAAAAGAAGAATTATAATATTACTTTTAAAAATTGAGGTAATATTTTTATTACTTTTATGGTAGTTATTACATCAACTTAAAAACTACCTCATTACTTGTTTATTTCTAATATATTATTAATTTCATAACGAAATTCAAATTGTATTACCACCACAAGATTTAGTTTATCAACATAGAGATATGTTTTAAAAATCAATGTATTTTAGATATACATATTTTAAAATTCTTTTCAAGAATATATATATATATATATATATATATATGTATATATATATTTCAAATTAAACTCAACTCATATGATATTTGTAGTAACTTTTAATTTGAACTTCAATGTTCTAATAATTCAACTTGGTTGTAAACCTAAAAATCATTTTTTTTAATTATCAAGCAACATTTCAATTTTATAGAAATAATGACAAAGTTAGCTCTACTAGAAAAATATTCTTCTCTTTTAAACCACAACTTCAGAAGACCATGTGTAGACCAATATGTATTTAATTAAACTAACTCCATTTCTATTTTTGCAATCATTCTCACAAAAAAATAATTGGTTTAGAAACGAACAGAGCACCAACAAAACAACTCCAATTAAATTGGTCCACAATATAGAGGTGCAGAGTGAATCCCCAAAACACAAAAAAACAAAAAAACAAAAAAGTTTTTTTTAAATTTGAAAATATTGTGTTGTACAAATTTCCTGCACTTCATGTGTATGCAATGAGATTGAATAGTAGATAGTTTTATATGAATTTTGGAGTGAGAAAGTCACTTGTTGATTGCTTCCAATTTCTGGTACACTAGGCAGGCTTGTGAGCCACGAAATCAGAATTGAAAGAGTAGATGTTCTCACTTAGGAATTCCAACTGCAATAAACACATGAGTAGAATAGGCTACTATGGTGATTGCTAACAGAAGTTCTGTTCAAACTGGCTCACAAATCGCTCACAGCGATGTTGTGAACAGCTTTGAAAGCTACCAAATACTATTCATAAATAAATAAATAAATAAGAGCACATTAGGGATAAGAGATTGGAAAGATTAATTGTGTGATCAAACTTCTGGACACGCAGACTGTATATTATGGTATTTGTTGTCAGAACATTCTGACCTCATCTCCAAGCACTTAACTACGAAGCTACACACTTCACACCTCCTGAAATTTGACCACAATGCATGAAATATCATCTTCACATAGCCGCCGCCGCGCTTCTTCCACAAGCTGACGTGCAGCTTTGACAGGATCATCAGTTTCTTTCACACTGTCTACAACTTCTTGGTCATCAAACATTGAAAACAAACCATTGCTTCCCAGCACGAGAAAGTGACAAGATAGGTCTATGACAATATCAGCTACATCGGGTCTGGCACTTATATGCTCCTTCATTTCTTTGTCCCCAAACGCTCGTGTTACTGCCAGCTTTCCATCCACTCGCAACTGATCCCCTACAAGTCCAATTCGAATCACCTCACGAAATATTTCAGTAGAAGAAAGGTCATATCAAATAACACGAGAAACAATTTCATCTAACCTCAAGAAGCACAGACAAGGTTAAAAGTAACACTAATTGAGACAAACCACACAAGTTTTAACACAAACTGGGTACCTCCCACACAAATTAGATGAGCAAAACTAAGATTGAATGCAATCGGGTTGCTGAATACAAAGCTTAGTGCCCAATCATTTAACATAAATATCGGCGAAGGAAAGAATCAGGTGGCAGCTCATAAACTTAACAAGAACAAGATGATACAAAATATTTGAAATTCTAACTTCAACTGCAGAGAAAATTTCTTTAAAGTCCTTGTAGATCGTATTACCTGGAAAACGTGTCACATGGCCGCCTCGAGTTTCGATGTTTGCTTTCTCTACGGGCCGCGTTGGGTCATGTTTCACCGATACTAGCTCGGCCTTGCCATTCTTACATAAAACAGCGCGAGAATCACCCAAATTGGCCACAATCAAACGGCCGCCGAGCTCGCACACCATAGCGGTCACAGCAGTGCTTCCTCCTTTCTCTGTGGAATCCAAGATGTGTCGGTCGGTAAGGAGGTACGCATCTCGAGTAGCACCTGCCGGATCTGACCATACACCCCCCTCATTGACAATGTTATTGAATAGGTTTTTCTGCAATTGTTTCGCAACAGCATCACCGTTGTGGGAGTCGAAGATGCCAAAGAACGCGACCTGTGTAAGATGAACAAATCGTGTCAAATTTTGAACTGCCAAAGATCAATGCTCGTCACGAAAGTCATCTTCTTTGTACAGTTTACACTTCCTAAAAATTTATTACAATAGGGTTGAAGTTTCCAACTGAACGCTAACAGAGGAGGAGCAAAACACTACACTTGGATTCCTACGCACCTTCCCGTCAAGCTCAAGAGAGAGAAATAAACTTCCACCAAAGTAACCTCCACAAGATTGAATAAAAAACTGCGCACGATGTGCATTGTCCAACATTAAACTATCAGAGCTAAAACTACCTGCGGTATCAAGGAGTGAGTGTCGCCGCACGGTTGAATTATGAAACCGCATAAAATTGTGCAAAAATGAAAAGTCGTTGTTCCCATGTTTGACAAAAAAATGTCAGATGGAATCACGACTAGAAAAATTGAAGAGCTCACCTCCTTGCCATGGATAATCCGGATTTCAGCCACATGCAGGTCTCCCATGGGACGCCCGGGTAACCCTCGCAGGAGGCAAAAACCCCAAACCACTTGAGGCTGCATGCTTTGGCTCTGACCGCCACCACAAATCGCTTCTCCGGATGGACCCATCTTCGCTGAAGCATCTCCTCTGCTAGCTGCCTGATGAGGCTCCACATTCACTCGAATTTTCCCTTGCTCGAGATCCTCTCCTCCCGCTTCTATGTCCAATTCAGGCTTCTTCTTCTTCCTTCCTAAAATAGGTGTTTGCAAGAAATCGTCGAAGGCATCCTCCAATTCCTTACCCTGTAAATCCATACTTGCGTCACTCGATGGCCTCCTTCTCTCCACAACCGAAATTGGTCCGCACCTCGCAAACCCAACTTCCTACATCCAATTCAATAAGCTCTCTCAACAAAACATTGAACTCATTCACATCTTCACGAAGCCCTTACTGTACCCGAGCTTACTGTACACAAAGCTGGCTTACTGGCGTACCGCGGACATTAGAAATGCCGCAAATCGCCTCTCAAACTTTCGATCGGAACAAGCAAAAACCTTCCAATCGAGACCGCGCACTATGCGGATTCGAGATCCTTCTTCGATTCCACGAGGAGCAGCCGTGACTCCGCCGCCTTTGTGATTGGTGACAAAGGTTGTGATTAATTCTACTTGGAAACATAATTAGTAACTCCTCCATTCAAACTGGGGGTCAAGATAATAACACGAATGCCTACGTGGCAGACTTTATCTTTAGCCGTTCGTTATGGCAATCAGAATGTGGAAAATGTGGCAAGTGCTGCTTCCCCGTTTGCCACGTAGGTTTTCATCCAAGCGAATTGGTTTTGCCAAGTGGAGCATTGTATCTTAGGGTTCCCCATGTTGCTCACAAGTTCCCCATGTAGCTTTGAGATCACTACCATGGCTTTTTAATATTGACTTTATTTAATTTCAGTAATCGTGCTTGTAGTCGTGTTGTAGTGAGATGTTTAAATTTCTTGCTATAATTGTAGTAAAATAATAACACATTGTGGCAATTTCGGTGTTTTGTAAAACACGTGGCATTGTATAAGAATTACACAGTAGTTATCTGAAAGATAACTGTGTGAAATAAAAATTTATGTGGTTTTAATTGTAATGTTATTGACTTCATGAGTGGTGGGAAAAATCTTTTTGCTTCATAATTAAATTAATGTAAATGAAAATAATTAACACTTTATATGAACACATTTATCATTTATCATACATTTATAAATGGGTTGATATATATTTTTATTTCTCTTACTTTTTATCAATGTGATAATAAAATTAAGTGGAATTTCATAGAATTTACACAAATTAATTTTAAGATGTTATAATTGGGTGATTTGAAAATGTCATGAGAAATACACAACTGACTTTAACTACGAAATTACCTATAAATTAATATTCATGGACTTTAATAATACACTTATATTGAATTTCAAAATAAGTACATTTCAAAAGTTGAAAAACGAATTTTAGTTTTGTGACCTTTTTTTCAAAAGCAATTGTGATTCAAAAGTTTATTGAAACATTTGTTATATTTAGTAAATATTATGTCATTAAAAACATTATTTCAGATGTTTGGAGAAAACTGTCATTTCAATTTTATTTATCTTTAATTAATGTATTGTTTAGTAAATATCACTGTGTAGTTAATATTGTAATTATTATTGTCATGGTTTCAGCAAATACTTACATATTATTAACATTGTTTGTTCGTCTTGTCTGAGTGTATCCATGTAAATTGAAATAGTATCTAATATATATAGTAATTTTAATCTGATATTTATGTAAGCTTCATATAGCCTTATTGGCATAAAATATACAAATTTGTGGATAAAGTTTTATATTATGAATTGTGATGCATTCTCTATTTACCATGAGATTTTAATTTTTTTGTCTTCTTGGGGCATGGAGTTGTGACAGTTAATACAATTATGTTTAGTCAAAATTTTTATTTATTTATTTATTTTTCATTGCACTGTAATTCAGGGTTACATAACAATTATTATATATTTATATTTATGTTGATGAATTTAATGTTTATAGAATCTCAAATCTACCACATGCCTAGTTTTTAAACTTTACATTTCTGAAGATAACTTTAAACTCCTTCTGAATAAGCACAAGCCTAATTTATGCACATGTGCCAAATATCTATATACTTGAAATTCAAATAATTTTTAGGATGTAACTTATCTATATAAAAAAATAGAATGACGTCTTTTTTCATTTTTTCCTGTAAAATAATGAAAAATTATTTTATTATTTAGTGCATGTAATTTATTAAAAAGAGACGTATAAAAATTATAACTGAAATTTATTGTACTATGTGAACATGTGAAAAGCATTTTATACATATATATACACAAAGAGAGAGAGAATAGGCTACAAATATGTTCGTATATTTAAAAAGGACATTGTTTGCAAATTTAACTATGTGGAAACTCTGTAAATAGTGTTTTATTTGTCAACAACTACTAACAATTGTTAGGATTTTAAATCTTAACAAAATACAATTTCAAAGACCTCAGAATAAATATTATTAACTTTTTCTTATTGATTGTGACCAATTATCTACTGTTTGAATATTCAAATATTCATATTTGATTCTATTAGAGATTTGTGAAGCGTTCAATCTTAATTATACTCTACATTGCTTTGTCAGCACATATCGTTCATCACTTATATTATATTGCTATTTAGTTTTGTTCATTTATTTACTTTGACCAACGTTTGAATACACATATATTCCACTTTATTAACAATTAGAACATAATTCAATGTATGACTCAGCTTGGAATTGGAAATAAAAAAATGGTAAAAATTACCTTTGTATAATGACCATCAATTTGATCATGTAGATGGACATGAGAATAATATACTTACCATATATAAAAATATAATATTTATGTCATCAACCATTCTTTTAGATACAAGACGGTTATTAACAGAATAGTCCATGTGTGAAAAAACCATTAAATAGTATTCTTTGATTCTTAGGTGCTTATTTCTAATAATAAAATTATGCTCGTTGTTATCACATTCAAACTATATATATATATATATATATATACACACACACACACAAACACACACGCACATGTGATGTGATGTGATAAGTTATAAAATGACTGAAAAGGTCTGTATCATTAAACATTTAGATTCTAGAAAAAACCCACATGCAATGAAGAATGTCACGTGTGTTTGACACTTAATACAGGAAAATCATATGCAGAAACTACTAGAAGTTACAAACCCTCGTCCAGAAATTGTTTCAAGCAATTCAAGTTTCAATTAAAATCACTGAATATTATATGAAGCAAAAAAAGAGACAATGAAAACGGTGAGTCTCATCCTTTCCTTACGAACAACATTGGCTCGATGCAACAGTTTATTACATTAAGAAAGTTAGAGATTCACAACGTTGACTTTCGCCCAGTTGACTATCGTAGATTTGACTTCCACCGCGGTTGACCTAAATGGAGGAAGTCAACAGGGTGCGTAGGCCCACCCCTTTCGAATTGCTACTTGCAGTTTCGGAAATCAGTTGCCGGCACTATCACTCCACACCGCATCAGAACTACATCTGAGTTGATTTAACTTGATTTAACTTCATACCCATACAAGCTAGTGTCCACCTCTACCTGGGATTTGCAATGATTCTTGGTCCATTGTAAAGGCCCCGCCGCACCACAAAATCACTGGGTGGGTGATATTCTTCAAGCCGCTCAACTAGACCGCATTCTTCTGCCGGCCCTGATCAGACCCACAGATGAATAAAGAAAAAGAAAACATGAGTCAGTGCATTGTAAACGCCGAACAGGAACGTATCTGAACTTTGAGAGCAAGCAGCCAAAAGCCCAGTCGCACGAGCCTTCCCGGTTGCTTATCATCATCAACCGCCAAGCTCAAAATAAGCCTAATCATAAATCTGAACCAAATGTCTGATCCAATGTGTGAGTAATAGGAACATAATGCTCACCGTCGGTTGAAGTGATGCGGTAGTACGTGCAATGTCGGCCAGTTGCTAATGAGTATGGCGGAGCCAACACATCCAGCACAGCGCATGGCGTGAGAGCCGTGAAGGCATGGATGTTGCCACCGGAAGTCGGATATAGCACCTCGGTTGCAGAGGTCCGCTGTGGTTCTTTTCCGTTTGGATCTGCTCCCAGCACATGGTTTACTACCAATTTCGCATGCCGTGCTGCACTACAGATCCTGCTTCGTTAATACTAAAACTCGTAACATACTGCAGTTCATAACCTCGATCGGTGTACGAAAGGCTAATCGGAAACTACTCTATCTGGACAGCTGCATGAGAAGACGAACTAAAACAAAAAAATGCCAGGATCAGGGGGAAAACTTACATTATCTAGGGGATTCCACAAGAGGAACGCACTTATCAACCTGTTTCAGCAGTTGTTGGCAGCTAGAGGAGAACGTACCTATTGTCGGGTTATTTTTCAACCTCTCATCATGAGGATCCACCCAGTCATAGGCTCTTATGTGCATTTTTCCATATAGTAGGCGACTAAGCACAGTCATGCCCGGATGATCATGAAGAGGTATACTTGCTAATGTAGGAAGAACGAAAACTCCCGTCTTAACATGCATAAAACACCAACCCATTTAAGCAGCAAAACAGCAGAGTCCCAGAACACAAATGCGCAGAAGTGCATCGTTCAGAGGTGTAGACCATGTCCGTTCAGACTTTGGCAACTAAAATATGAATCAAGCTTCGAAATAAGAACAAGATGATTTAAACGAAACAATCGTTCCTCACAGTGCTTCTCAAATTTCACATTGAGGACTTGTCGAACATGATCGTTGATACTCAATTCCAAATAAACCGAAATTGACTTCGAAATCGACTCCACAAATTGAAAGAATGACACGACGTGTAAGAACTTTCACCAAGTCGGGAGCGGCTCTTACAGAGAATACATCACATTCGTAAAGGTGAAGATAGCTGATGGGAGGTGCATATCTGGGCCGTCGCCAGTTGCCTGGACCGGCATCAGCAAAACCTCGAATGCCTCCATTCTGCTGCTCAGGGATTATCAGTCCAAGGTCTACTGGCTTGATACTGTCTGCAACAGACCCCGCTAAAGCGTAAACTCTCGGAGCAAGCTTTTAAGAGGATGGCCCAAATTCACAGAAGGCGTCTTAGAGATATTGGCCTTAAAGTTGGGCTTCAAATAACTAATGAAGAAAGCTGCTGAACAAAGAATAAACAAAATTGCGAAAAATTCAACCCAAATTAAATCACAATTGGAACTGAAAGTAATCCTATGGAATTCAATCTGGAAAACAAGTATTCTTTCAAATGGTTTCTTGGTCAGAAACCAACACGAAGTGCGCAATCCTGAACGTCTGAACTATAACCAGCTGAACTTAACAGCACCTGTACATATAGACTAAGGTGCCAAACACCGCGCCACTTTGATTTCAGTGTTACCAGGGTCAGAATTGTTCACTAAAGACGGCCAAAGACTGCTCGAGTTGACGTTAAACATTCAATCCATTTCATACACCAAAAGTAACCCTCTGAAAGCGAGAGAGAGAGAGAGAACTATCAATAGTTTCAAAAGATACAATAAATAGAACGTGAGTATACCCAGCACTGCCCGGACGTTGGAAACCTGCGCTTCAGACGGCACAGCGGTCGACGTGAACACTTTCTTACAAACATCGTACAATCTTTGCACCGCCGGCACAGCCGCCATAGTCATTGCGATCACCTCCCTCCTCGCCCAACCTTTTTTTCCAAACCCTACAATCCACACCTCAACTAGCAAACAAATCCCCCCTTGTCCCACCCTCTGCCACCGCCCCTCTCACGCATCACCCATCCTCACAACCCCCGGACCTAAATCCTGTTTCCCACAATCGCCCAACTTTTCAAAAACCTCCCTCACAACCCCCTCCCGCCCCTCACCGTCCCTCTTCAACCCTCTCCGTCTACTCTCTCTTTCTCTCCACAACTCAAGCCCAACAGCTCCAATTGTCAGACACAAAAACAGCCTGCGTCTACTTTTCTACCACGGAATTCAACCTTTAGAGCTCAAATATCCCACTGCGATTGCTCTCAATGCAGCAACAGTAGTGAAAAAGCCGCGAAATTGAAAGCGGAAAGCGAGAGAAGCAGAGAGAGCGAGGTGGCGATGAAATTGGAAGATGTGTGGAAGAGTAATGTGCGGGGAATGGTGCGAAGGGGAGTAACAGTTTTATGACAACGCGCGAGGGCTCACCAGAATGCGCCTTTCTCCCCCCTAGCAGAGTCATTTTGGCCCAACCAGGATTAATTACGTCCCTGTTCACACCGACGGAACTGGAACACTTTTCTGATGCGTTCACACTGTCAACAAAACTAGATCTCTCGTATGATGCGTTCACACTGTCGACGAATGGGCCTCTATTCATTAGGATGCGTTCACACAGCTGGATTTGGACCATCGTTGAGACTCGATTAGTTGTGAAGATTTGGATGGAATAAGACCATACAACATTAGCTTAGAAAAAACTTTAACCTTTTCTTTTTTCTTTTTCTTTTTTCTTTTTTCTTGGCATCTGGATGCAATTCAATGTTGAGTACTATGTATGATTTTTTAATTTAATTTAATTTTTGTAAATGTGTGCATTGTGGATTTACTTTTACATTGTAGACACTTATTTACTGTGAATATCTCAAAATAAAAATTTCTTCTTCTTTTTCTCTCTGTTAGAAAAATACATTTCCTTTTTGTATGAAGTCCATGTAAAGTGCATAAAATCTCGTATTCATCTATATAAAAGCATTACCTTAAGTAAAAATAGTCTCTTAGCAATCAATAGAAGGACTTATTTGTCTTATTGCAAGCTTAACTTCATTCTATTTTTTTTTGATATAAAGTGTATTTTTAGTGGTAACACTGCAAAAATTCTCTCTCTCTCTCTCTACATATATACATATATATATATATATATATATATATTAGCATAATTTTGGTAATTAAATGTAATCTAATTACCAATTAGACTGAAAGTTCAAATAAGGAAGCTTGTTTCTGAACATGTTTACTGCAAAATTTTCAAGAGAACCGCAATTCTTATTGATTGTAAAATAATTGAAAAAATAAAATAAAAGACTTTATAATTATTTAGTCTCATTTTAAAAAAAATTATAATTTTATTAAAAAGAATTAAAAGTCACTATTCTTTTGTTTACAATCTAGGCATTTGAGAATCTTAACATTTTTATAGATTATTTTTTTTGACTTTTAAAACATTGCAATTTGACTCTATTTTATATTAAAATTTTGTATTATAATCTATAAAATAAACCTAGGTCGAAACTTTTTTTAAAAAAAAAAAAAAAAGTTGCCCCTCCAATAATTAATCCCCTCAAAACTAATAACTAGTTGAATAACTAGTCTAATAATTAGTTGAAAATTTGAAAACCAACTCCATTCTATAGTGCATAATTAATAACTTCTGATATCTAATAACTACTTAATTTTTTATTGACTATTTTCAATTAACAGAGGTAAATACTTAAAAGTGATTGGGCAAAGCAAGGCTATGTGCTCATCAAGTCAAAAGCTAGTAGCTTAGGATTATAGAGTCCTAACAAGGCTAATTTCTATCCTACCTTTGTGGAGGCACCATCTTTTTTCTCATATTAGCACCTGCTTTTGCAGTCTTGTCCATAATGTCTTCTAAGCTCAAAATCCTAGCAACAAGAGTTATATTAGCTCTGTTGATATCAAATTGTGGTCAAATTTTCTACAACAGACAATATCAATTAACTGGGCAACAACTATACTAAGATGGTGATTTCATAGTCTTCATTTATTTTTTATTTTATTTTACAAACAAAGTGCACAGTTACTTTATTACAATAACTCAAATCTTGTTAATGACCAAGATATATAAATATGTGTTGTTGATTTATATAAACAAGGAATTTGTTTCTTAAATAATATCTCATATCTAGCAATCTATAGCATTTTTATTTTATTCATATAATGTGGTGGTAAATTTATGTTATAATGTTTTTATGTCATCACTTACATCATTTAAGAAATATTTGAAAAAAATTGAGAGTTTTAATATTCCTTCAATAAAATTAAAAAATAAACATTCTATGTAGTGAATTCATTTATTCTTTACGAAAAATAACTTATCGTAATTATGCTGTTAAATCTATACGATACTGCTAATCAGACTCACTACTAAGTAATGTTTTGCACCTCTCAGCGGCTGAAACTTAAATTTAAACCAACCGAATGCTTGTTTCCTTAGTTATCCTCTGCCACCTCCACCATCCTCATATCCTTAACCCATTCTCACACACAGAGAGGCCAATTCTTTGCCAAATCTAGACACTCGAAAGTAAAACAGGAAAGCACCAGCAGTTCTCCATGTGTAGGAAACTTTTGATTACTCAACTGAAAACCCATAAAGTAGAATATAATAGAAACAAAATAATACAAAACAGGAGTTGTCATTTAGGACTAAAACTCCATGCAGCTGAATAGTTAATGAAAACACGCTATGAACAAAACAACCTAGAAGGCTCACCCCCAGAAGTAAAAAAACATTCCCTGTATGGTGCAGGGAGTATAAACACTATGGTACAATGCACTAATTCATGCTTGTTACCAATCCAATCCAGACTATAAGCTTGTGCGTGTTCCGGAATGTTTACAAGTACAAACCTTGGTCCCATCAACAAGAGATGTTCGACTGGTATTTCGTCACACTAGGCCTTCACATGAAGCATGAAAAGTGGCTTCAAATCACTGAAACGAGTTTAATTGCTCGGAAGCTATGGCGCTTCTCAGTATGCAACCAATATTAGAGTCAGAAGAGAATGTCTTCGTCGTTATTGACGTTGTCTTGGCTACTAATCGGTCGGTTAGATCCCTGCTCCATGTATGATTTGTTCTTTAAAAGTTGCTTCTCCACCTCTTTCTTCTTGTATGCCTGCACTTTCTTCAACCTGAAAAACTCCTCCCTCTCTAATTCATCGAGCTCGCCTCTGATATATGAAATTGTGTTCTCCAACTTCGGCTTCACGACGTTCTCCAGAGCATTAACCCTCCGGTTCGTTGTTTTGATTGCCTCGTCCAAGGTCAGGAAGGATGTCTGCAATGAAGCCAATTCTACCAAAATCTCAACCGACCTCATGAACGCAGATTTGGAAAGTTGGATCTGTTGCCCACCACGACCCAACCCTGCCAAATCGTTCTTGGACTCTCCTGGTTCAATGAAGTGCTCGAATTTAGGGAGCTTCACTCCTGCCACGTTCTCCTGCCTCGCCCTAACTTTAACCGTGGCTTTATCCACATTCTCAAACACCACACACTTAATGTTATCTCCCGCTGCATATTTAGCCTCGGTTAACGAGAACGCAGATGCCTTCATGGTGCTCCCCATCGACTCCTTGGTTTCCACAATGCGCTTCAAAATCTGACGGAACTGCATGGTCAAAGCATCACTCTTCTTCTTCAACAGCTGATGCCCCTTTGTGGCACCTACCAGGCGAGCCTTGACCACCCCCATCATGGTGATAGTAGGAGCCACATTCAGTCGCTGGTTGGACCCCGACATCTTGACCTACAAAATTCCTCCGGCCCATATCTCAAAATCACCGATCAACCAGATCCACCAACAATTCACAACTCACAACTCACTACCCCCAACATACCTTTCTCCCAAAGCCCTAGAGCTCACGATCCACCATCTCTCACGCGATTCATACGCCTTACCAGCAAAGACAAAAACGGAAACTCACTTCAATCTCGAACACCACCACAAACTGATAAACACTCACCCTAGAAAATGCACTCCTCGGCTGTAACACACCCGATCGATCGTCACTCCAGACAAGAACACACGTTCGCAAAAACCCAGTGAAAAAAAACACACAAAGCACCACTCCGGCCTCTGCGTTCGACCAGGAGTTTCCGCTAGCTCTGCAATAATTCCAACATACACGAGATCTGAGGAGATACGGCGATGGATGCTCCAGTCGAGAGACATGCACTCGTGAACGCAATGAAGGACGGCAAAAGCGAGGGATGAAGACGCAAACCGCATGCGGAATCGCCAACTGGGAAGCTTGCTGATGTCATCGTCGCGAAGATCTTATGGGGCTGAGCTGGACCCTTGACCGCAATCCTACGTGGACATCCATTCAGTGTGAACAGGTCAATCGCGGGGCCACACAATATTGTGGGAAAAAAAATTGTAGCCCTGAATAGGGTTGTTCTTTCAAAATATAAGGTGAATAGTAGAAAGTAATTTCAATCTAAGATGGTTTTTTTTTCATTATAAATCTCTTGGATTGTTGCAAAAAAAAAACAAAACAAAACAAAACAAACAACAACAACTTATAAACATACTCAAAGAAGATTTGTACAAGGAGTATCTATTTCAAAATCTATATGATGTATCATTCAAATTTTGGAATATGTATCATGTTGTTCTTCATTCTTAGTGTAAAATCCAATAAAGATATATGTTATTTAAATTATAAATATATTGTTGTTATGGTTTTGATAATAATAAAATTTTAATTATTTTAAGTAAACAAAAAATTATTGCATCAAATTAGAAGAATGTTAAATAAACCCAATTTTTAAATAAATTGATCTATCCACAATGAAGAACATGGTAATTATGATGAATATGATTGATTTTCATTGGTTTTGAATCGAGTAATGGAGAAATGAAACAAGAGGTATTAAGAATTCTTATCTATAAAGCTAATATTTGTAGATCAATAATATATATATATATATATATATATATTTATGAAATTGAATATCCATTACATTCCATGTACTATTATTTTTTTAATAACTATTGTTTAATTTAGATCTCATTTATTAATAGGATTTAGATTATATAAGTTTATTATTAATTATAATATAATATAATAATATATATGTTTAATAAATATAAAATCAATTTGAATTATTTATATTAAATTATCATTAATATAAATTTTTTATTAAAAAAAATTATATATATATATATATATATATATATATATATATATATAAAGAAAAATAATAAAGCGATCCAAATATTTATTAAATTGTTCCATCTATCTAGAACATGATTGCACCTTTTTGTCCCACATCTCTATTTCCTAGTTTCTCATATTCCCATCTTGTCTAATCCCAACCTCCTCAACCATGTTCCTTGTCTTGACCCCCCTTCTTCCATTGTCACTTATTCTATTTAAGTAGAAATTCATCTACACAATTTTCTTGTTGTCTATCTCTTGATTGTGTGATCATGCCTTCTAAGGAAATATAAAAGCTAGTAAGTAGGCTATCAGTATCTCTTCCGCATATTTGATACAAGAGCTAAATTTTCTACAAATTCTAATGCATCTTCAATCTCACCAAAGCATTTATTGAGCAATTGGACGAACCAACCATCACATTACATTGCAATCATTTTAAAAACAATGCCTTAATCTCATTCATGACTTCAAAAGATGTAAGCTACTCCTCCTCCACAAATTGGATCACAATCCAGTGAATATTCTTTCCTCTACAAATCTACAAAAAAAAATAATGATGAATTATAAAAGTTGCAATCCTACTTCCACAACATGAAATAACATAAGTGTACTTGAAATAATGTATAACAAAGAATTGAGAGGATGAGTTATTTATAGGATAATTGTGAAGATGCAAGTTATAATATCAAGGTGATGGATTAATTTGTAGTGAGATGCACTTGCATCAACTTGACAATGCTCAATTTCTACAATGACAATATTACTTGATCTTGCATGATTCTAAGTATCTCCAATCCATTGTGCACCATTGCAATCAAGAAGTTGCCTCTCTACTTAGTATTCACTATAAGGCTTGAGATGCCAAGCCGATGACAATTATCTATCAAATGTTGTTGTATGTAGGGAACTAAATAAAAAAATCATCTATATGACAATTATAAATATGAGCAATACAATCATTTCAAAAAATAAACATTGACCACTTTTAATATAAGACATAACAAAAGCCAAACACTTGCTTTGAGAAAGGATTTCTAAATTATTTAAAAATGAGAGACCCAATTGAAAGAATCAATGCAAATTTCAAAAGTAAAACAATAATTAAAAGAACAATAATCAATGAAGCAAAACAAAGAATAGAGGATGGAAGTTTGACTAGCAACTAGATTAGAAGATGTGACGGAGCAAATTTTGCATCAATTGACATGATTCATAGCATCAAAAAATCCTCACCTATCAAAATTGTACACAATTTTGTAAAGAGATCATCTACACTTTCATCAAAAAAATGTTTTGTATTATAGGTTTGGATTTATTTCCCTTATAATATATTGTTTTTATTTTGGTTGTAGAATGATGATTTTTTTTTTCTTGAAAGTAACCACTACTGTATGATAATATGAACAAGTCATTGGAATAGAACTGACTTGACTTGACTTACTGCAACACTAATTGATAAAAAAAGTGTGTAAGTGGAAGGTGATAGTATCGACATTGTGCTTGATGGAGATTAAGTTGAATATATCCATCTCGATCTTACATATAAAAGATGCTTGCACCTATTTTTAGAGCACCATCTTTGTACCCAAATTAGTTACTAAACTCGACACTCTCTTTGGAAACATTACTCTTGTAATTTTTTATTTTTTATTCATTTATTTATTTTCTTCTCTCTCTTTCTTCTTGGTCCTTCTCTAGCTTGGCATGGTTCCAAGTTTGCAATGCTTTTGAGTAGACATTCCAAATAGTTCTAAGTAGCTTCAAGGTCTTTATTTCATGATCTTAGGATTATGTGTTCAAAACATACTTGAAGAGATCTTTGTTTGGAGAAGACATAATCACCCTTGAGTTTTTAAGTTTCATGGCTCTTTTATTTGTAAAACACAATGCTTAGCTTATTATAGATTATGTTTGAGTTGTTAGTTTCAAATTTCTCTCAAGGTTTGTTTTCATTTCTTTTTGTATAATTCTTTTTTCTTTGATTTGAGAAGCTCACATTGAAATATTGACTATGTAGAATCATCTCATAATAGCTCCTTTGTTGCTATCATCTATTGAAGATACCCAATACAAGTTCTATGATAGACTTTGATAATTTTTTTGCAAAAGTTCTTGCAGTCTCATTCCTATGCATCATTGTGTCAAGGACAAACACTCGATGAGGGAAAATATACACAAAAAGGCTATCTCGATATAATAAGTCAAAATATAAACAAGTAGGTATATTAAAAGGAAACTGGAATGGCTATTGCCACAAGACAAGAAACTAAAGACTCTTGAACCTGGACTAGAAGCAAGAAAGGAATTGACAAGAGTGAAGAAGCCTTCACTCTTGTCTCTATATATACTATCTAATTAGGGGCTACGTGGCGACGTTCTATAGGACCTCCAATATGTGTTGACTTTGTAGGACACATGCCTTGACTTACAAGGCAAGTTTTTCTATGTGTGGACCACATAATTAGCTTGATCTTCAAGCTAACAACATGTGTGGCACATGGCCAACTTGTTGACCACGTTTCTAATCCAAAAAGTCAATTAAAGACACTTATGAAGTCAAAGCAGCGTTTAGGAAGTTTCTAAGAAGCTTCTATATTAAATATTATAGAATTAACTTACTTTTATCTACTTTTACTTACTTCTACCTATTTCTATATGTAATTATTAGCGTACATGATTATGGTCGTGACACATTGTCAAAGAGTAACTAAGTCAACTAATCTAGAATTTGATTTTGACACAAAGTAATACTTATAGTGCCAATACAACTCCCAATCCAAGGGACATCATGGCTCTTTTGTGATATAGAAGTCTCTTGCATCAAGAGGCCTTGACTAGTTATACATTCAAGTGTGCTAGTGGAGGGCCAACCTGCAAGGCCTATTAGTGTTGCAAATAAGAAGAAACTACCTTATTGTAGAAGCTGTCTCAACACTTGTATTTTTTGAGTATTAATTAAACCAGCTAAGATTTTTAGAATTTGGATGAAATTCAATTCTTGTATCAAGTGTGTAGAGGGAATACCAATAACTTGCTTACTAGCTTTTACATCTGATTGAGAAAGGCACATTGACATAGACAAGTGACATCTAGAGATACATATTGGGATAGGAGATGAGATCAGGCATGGGAACTTAAAGAACAATTTAGTAAAAAATTAGGTTGCTTCATCATTGTACTCTTTCAATTCCATCTCTATTTCCAACCATTCCCTTATTCTCAACTGTCGCCTTTATTTTTGACGTTCTTAACTTTCTGCCTCCATCCTCAATAACGTTTGAAAATGGAAAAGACTTGAGAATAGGGATGGAGACTACAAAGATGCATTGATGGTTAAGATAGAATGGATTGCTTTAATAAAAATTTGGGTTGCTTTATCATTCTTATATCTATATATATATATATGGATCTTGCCATATCCACACATTTTATTTTTAGTATCATAATAATATTTTATTTAGTATTTGTATGTTTTAAGAACTTGATTGTCTCTGGTCTTAATTTTATTTTTTTTTATTTATTTTTGAATTCTACTATATGTGAATCAATTCCTTAAGAAGTATTAAGTAAGATTTCTTCTATCTTTTCTTCCAATGAACATAATATATTTTAGAATATGAGAGAAAAAAATGAAAAATGAAACAAGAAATAAATATATAACAGACAACAAGATGAGAAAAATAAAGATTTGTAATAATACAATACCTTGACTTAATTTTTTCTTTAATATACTATTATTATCTTAAAAGAGGACCTGAGTATTTGTTACAATAAATACAACAGTTCTTTAAACAAATATTTGATTTCTAAAACGACAGTCATTAGATTGACCTGTAAAAAGTTCAAGAATTTCTTCATGACTTTTTAAAACTTTGATCTTTAAACTTGATTTTGTCCAAGAGTTTTATTAATCATATACATGATTAGCACCAAATAATCTTATACAAGTATTGCTTTTAAGCAAAATGAAGACCTAAATTATGAAATTCAGATATTGCTGATAATATTTTAATGTCTTTTTTCTTCTTCTTTATTGTTATCAATACTACAAAATACTCTTTAAGGTTTTGATTGTAAATTCTAAGGATATACTAGTATGTTAATTATCCACTTTGTTTGAACACATTAACTGTTTGACAATTATGGAATAAAACCTGCAGTTTCTTAGGTCTGTATCTACAGTTCAAATGAATATTGGTAATTCTGCTAATTAAAAAAAACAAAGAAAATACCAAACCACCTCAAAACCAGTCCTAAATTTATGGTTTAAAGCGTGGTTTTACATTTGTTTTTTAAACAATTTTTTTTGGAGCAATTATAAATAACTATAATATCATTCATGTAAATCAAAATAACACAAATTATTGATCTCTTATGTGTGTATATGTATATATATATATATATATATATATAATTTATTAATATATTATTAAAATTAAGTTACCATGTAAATATAAAAAATTCTTTAAAGTATTGCATATCAAATTAGCCCAACTTTAATTAAATTTCGTAGGGATAAATAAAATAGAATTTCTTTAAAAATAGCAAAGCTCTAAATTTCTATTATTATTTATTTTATTTTATTTATTTATTTTTATTAATAATAAATTTGTAGATACTACCAAAGATGTCTTTGTCACAAAAATCCTAATAAAAGAACTTAACACAAATTTTAAAATCTAATTGCCTCCTACTTTACAATAAGCATAAATGTATTTAAATAATACATTACATATATTTGTTAATGACCACAAATTATATGATATACCTGGTAGCAAGATTTTCTATTGATAAATAGATTTATTTTAAATCCACATATGTATATATATATATATATATATATATATATGTAATGGTTTAAACATACAATATTTTTTTAATTTTTTTTTTTTTTAAAATTAAATGATACATAGACATATCAAATAGATATATTCTAAATTTTAATTTGATCTTTATTAATACAAGATAAATATCCGTTTTATACTTATTTTACAAAAAAAATTGGAGTTTATTTATTTTTTAAATTAATATATATATATATATATATATATATGTATATATATATATACATAATATTTAAATTCTAATGTTGCAAGTCTGTGTGTTATAATGATATTATCAAATGGCATCAACAATCTATTCCAGTAATATCTTCCAATGATATTAACAATGAAAAATTTACTAATTGTAAAGCAATTACTCTACAATTCTCTCTTTTCAAGGGGACAAACTATAGCTTAATATGCATGTCCTTCCATCAAACCTATGCAATATAAAAATTAATAAATAAAAATGAACTTTTTGAATTTGTTGTTGTTGTTGAGCAAGACAAATAAGACAAAACAAAAGTTTTGGTAGTTGTTTTTAGAACATAAAATGATTGTTTACATGCTCAAGCAACTTGCTTTGTTAGTTGCTTCAAGTTACATTTCACATCATGAAATGTCTACCAACTTTTCTAATGTATTCTTCCTTGCTTCTAAAGTGCTTTCATATGAGAGAATTGTACAAACTGTTTTTGCTTGAGTAAGCGTAATTTCAACTACTTGTGATTTCATGCTCAAATTGCACATCAATCTGCACAAAAAGAAAGAGAAAAGGCAACAAAACTGGAAGTGTTGTTGCAATGTCATTAACAAGGGCTTCCATTGCTACTACCTGTTGAAAATTATAATTTTAGTTGAAACAGGAAAGTGGGTTTTGTAAGAAAAAGAAGATGTAAAAATACAGCCATACTAATCTTTAATTCTGAATCTGTAAGATCAATTTTAAAGTACAAGAATTTGTCTCTAATCCAAAGTTCAAGTTTGTTTTAAAACTAATGCAGTGGAGTCAAGGTATCAAATCAACTGGTACCACTCTTTGCAATTAAAAAACATTCATGACAATATAAGGGATAAACAAACAAACAAGGTGATTGGAATAGAGGATAAGTTTCACAAAATTAAAAGAAAAAAGAAAAAAGAGTGGAATCCATGCCATGCATTAAAACTCCTTAGAAAGTTCAATATCTACATATGGAGGCAAAAAAACCAATTCACCTTATGGAGGCAAAAATCATATGGAGGCAAAAATCCCACTCTTCTTTGGTCTTCTTTACAATATTTTAAATAAAGAAGATGATAAGTGAGACATTTACACAAAAAAATATTGGGAATTTTTTTTCAAAAGATATTTTTCATAAAAATAAAATTTTAATTATTTAGAAAATTTTATTTAGAAACTAAATTAAGTTATCTAGAAAAGAATATAAATGAAAGAAACTCACACCTCCAATACAATGGCCCTAACGAAGAACTAGACGAAGATTGAGGACCGGTATGATCTCATCGTCTCGGACCCCGGGTATCAACAGCATCTCTCTCTCTATTTAAAGCCATTTTTCTGTTTTCGAGCTCGCAATTATTTGCAGCTTAAAGGCCGCTGAGTGTTTGCAGTTGTGGCAAAAAAATTCGCCGCGTTTGTAATGCGGTGCCTTCCTCTGTGGATCAGTGATTTTGTATAGGAGAAGACCTTTGCTGTGGCGTTTAATTGTATTATATACGAACCTTTTCATAGATTATTTCGTTTGGAGAAATCAGCTTTAGGAATGGTTGTGTGAGCCGTTTGGTAGGGTTTGTGTTGCTGATATCAGAATGGTTGGAATGGAGAGTTGCGGTTGCACAGTTGCTTGGTGGATTTGTTTCGTGACCTAGGAAGGACTTTGCGGGATTCTACAGGAAGTCGCTTCGCACGTGGAATTGGATGACTTGAGCCTCTCTGTCACAGGAGAGAAAGAGCTTGAACTCGTTGTTTTTTGTTGATACTCTGGCGAAAGGAGGACATGACTCTGTGATGGATGTTGAGGATAGGGAGATCGCAAAATGTGGTTTAGATTTTGTACGAGATTAGTGGAGGATCTTGATGTTTTTGAAGGTGTGCGGCGATTTCGACGTTTTTTTATGTTTGGATTGCGGACGGGTGTGCCATGTGTCTGCATGGATTCCAGTAATGTGATTATTGAAAGGCAGCGAATCGGCCCTGGTCATGAATCTTCGAAGCGGTGATTGACCAGCGGACACCGCGATGCATTCTGGTTAATGATATCAATGCGAATTTCTACAAAAATCTCAATACTTTATCTCGTATTTAAACGTGCGCTGATTCTTTACACATTTGCATGAATGATACTCTTGAAACGATGATTTCTTCGTGAGGATATTCAGGTTATCAGTTTGATCGATCTTTTGACGTTGAAAAGCACAAGTCCATGTCTTGAAATTGAATGCGACTAGTGAAGCTTCGATTGGGAATGTGAGGCTTAGGTGTTTGATAAAGTCGCGAGAATGGTGATTTGCTTCATCGTTTGAAGGTTTGGAAATATCATGATCATAACATGCTTGAATTTTCATGAGAGTGGCCATGCTCGAGAGAGGATGGGGACAGGCAGCGAGTGTTTTTGGGAGGTTTTAGATATTACGGATAAAATCAGGCATGTGGTAATTGATATACAAGTGTTTTGAGTGGTGAATCTTTGCAGATTGTTGAGATTAAGTGATTAGAAAACAGGGTGTAAATTAAGGTGCATAGGAGGAAAAAAGTGGTAGGGGTAAATGTCAGGGCAAACGCAGCGACTAAATGTTGCTCCGACCATCACCATGATGGGAGTGGTGAAGACTCGGCTAATGGGCGCCACCAAGGGACACCAGATGTTGAAAAGGAAAAGTGATGCCCTTACCCTGCAGTTCCGGCAAATAATGAAGCGCATTGTGGAAACTAAGCAATCTATGAGAGATCTCATGAAAGCTTCCATGTTTTCATTGACGGAAGTCAAATGTGCATCCGGAGACAATATCAAGCATGTGATCTTCGAGAATGTAGGGAAGTCAACAATCAAGGTAGAGACCAGGGAACAAAACATTGCAGGAGTGAAGATCCCACAATTTGAGTCTTTGGCCGAGACAGGAGAGTTAAAAATTAATCTGACAGGTTTGGCCCAGGGAGGGCAGCAGTTCCGGATCTGCAGAACTGTGTTCCTGAAGCTGCTTGAAGTTCTAGTGGAGCTGGCGTCGTTGCAATCGTCTTTCCTGACATTAGATGAGGTAATCAAGACGACAAACCGTAGGGTTAATGCGCTGAAGAACGTTGTGAAGCCAAAACTAGAGAACACAATCGTATATATCAGAGCAGAGCTTGATGAATTGGAAAGGGAGGAATTTTTTAGGTTGAAGAAGGTTCAAGCGTTCAAGAAAAAAGAGGTGGAGGAGAAACTCGTAAAGAACAAGTCCTTGGAAGAGCAGATGGCTATGGCAACCTCGACCCCTCTATCAAGTGATAATCCGAGTTCACCTGGTCGAGGTCGTATTGGCATCAGTCTGCAGACTTCAACAACTGCTCCAACCTTCCCCACTCTGCGCCCTCCCGTATCCATCGCCCCGAATTTTCCTCCCTATGTTCACACAAGATCATCCAATTTTCAACCCATGGATACTCCATCTCCACAACCTCGTCCCCAACCTCCATCCTCAAACCCTCCTCCAACTGCATCCATCGGCTCTCATGATCCTTATAGAATCACAACCTCTTCTCCCTTGATTATGTCTACAAGTAATCGTCTTCCTGTGATACTTCCCATGTCCGATTTACTTAGTCCACTACCTTCTGTATCCACAACCTCTCCTCCATCTGCATCCACAAGCCCTTCCCTAACTACGTGGACAAATAATCCTCCTCCCATAACCGTATTCTCGTCATTCTGTCCTCCGAACACAACCCCAAGTCCTGACCCGTCAATGATTCTCACTAGCCATTCTTCCTTGCCTGTATCCACTAAGAGTCCTCCCATGCCTCTGGACGAATCCACATTATTCAGTCTTCCATCTGCTTCCAGAACCCCTCTTCCATTAGCAATGCCTGTACGTAGTCCCCTGCCCTTGAGCGTATCCTCAAACATTTCTTTCATGGACATGCCAACTATTAGTGTTCCTCCTATGGTGACATCTTCGATATCCAACTCACCCAGTCCTCAGAACTCTTATTGCAGTCCTCATTCCTCCGTATCTATCAGCAGCAACCGGTCGTCCTTGGCGAGGTCAGGAGTGCCACACGGAGCTGATGAAGTCTGGGATCCCGATCCAGACATTGTTTTCTACTGAGCTGGGAAGGGATGTCATCTGAGGGTCCTCTTGCTCTGGTTGGTGACCCTCGATTAAATGACGGTGGTCATACCAGTTATCAAAATATCAGTGAATTTTGTACAGAAATGTACAATTTGACTCTAATGCCTCTCTTGGCTGCGGCCTCATGAAGGATTCACTGAAGGACACAACGTCTTTGCACGCTAATAAAGAACCTCTCATGGTTCTAACCCAATGTAGATCGCTGGTATGGACCTCTTGTGGGTCCCAGTTGTTCAAGTCAACAGGCCCTTTGAAGGTAAGCAGCGTCTCTTTCTTTTCTCTATTTTCCTTTCTGTCTTAATATTAAGGAAAATAGACAAGAGAGGGACAAAGAATAAGGAGAAAGAAAGTGATGAAAAAATTGCAATTTGGATAAGAATTTTGTATTTGAAATTTTCTTTTTTTAAAGAAGAGATACATTTAATGATCGTACTGAGATTCTTTGTAAGTTTTAGAGTTGAATAATGAATTTCAAATTTGATGTATTGTTTTAATTGAAATAAATCGTGTTTTAAATGGAATATAAGGAAGGCTAAGAAATTTAAAGTAATGTAGGAAAGCTTTTACAATTAAAAATTTCAATTCATTAAAACTTCAGAGTACAAAGTGTTCACTACTATAATGAAATTTTGATTAGATGTTTGAAACAGAATTCATATTTAATTTGTGATTTGAGTTTAAATTTTAATTGAGATTTTCAATCATAAATTATCTAACAGAAAAAATAGTAAAGAAATGAATTTTCAACTTTATGAATATATTGTGTACTTGAAAAAAAATAAAAATAAAAATAAAAAATTGTACTTATAATACAATTGTTTCAGAATGGCAAGTATTGATTTATTTCTTTTTGATGTAATTTGAGGACTTTAAATTGAATGCCCCTTTCAATAAAACTTTTGTAATTATAATGTTTCACAAAATCAATTATTAAAAGCTCATAATATATTTTTTAATTTTATCTTATTATTTATTAACAAACACATATTTTACTACATACTTAGCTTCTTAGTACTTTATATTATATATATATACACACACACACACATATATATATATATATATATATATATAATAAAGTAATTCAAATTTTTACTAAAGTGATTCATTTTATCTTAATCATTATTGTATCCTTATAACTTCCATCTCTATTTTTAGCTATTCTCTATTCTCAACCATTGTTAAGGATGGGAGTTGGGAATGTTAAGAATGGGGATGATGGTTGGAAACAAAAGAATGGCTGAGAATAGGAATGAGGTTGAAAGGATACAATAATGGAATAAACATGTGGATTGATTTAGTAAAAATTTGGACTGCTTTATAATTTTTTTTTATATATAGATATAATAACATCAAAGCATATTTTATGATTGATTAATATAAAAATCAACCTTTGATGTTATTATATATATAGATATAATAACATCAAAGCATATTTTATGATTGATTAATATAAAAATCAACCTTTGATGTTATTATATATATAGATATAATAACATCAAAGCATATTTTATGAAGGTTGATTTTTATATTAAAAAATTACAATAATATTTTAATATCAAATATAAATCATTTTAGAAAATTAATATTTTTTATTAATATTAAAGACTATTAATAAATTTTATGATTTAATTAAAATATGATTTTTAATATTAAATATATATATAATATTTATAATATTTTTTATAATTATAATATATTTTTGATTTTTTTTACATTAAAAGAAATTAGTATCATAATAATATTAAATTACTTTTAAAAAATGATTAAAAAACAACTCATATATTTATATAATACATGAGTTAATTTTATTACTATTATTATTAATTATAATAATGTATAAATTCAAAGGGCTTACTTGTGATAAGGATTGAAAATTAAACCTTCATCAATCAATTTCAATATGGATTAAAAAATGATATAAAATATTTATTATTCAAAATATCAAAGATAAATTTATTGAAATAATTTATTTTTTAAGCTATTGTATTTAATAATTGATTCTTTAGAAGGGGCCAAGGACAAAGGTTTAATTATAAAGGATCAAATCAACTCATAATAATAACTCATAAGTTTTTAGAAACTTATTTATAAAAATCACAATCTATTCAGATTGATGTAACACATTTTGAATCTCTCACCAAGTAAGAAAAGATTCATTATTGTTAAAAAAGATTGTACATATATTATAGAAAATTCAAGTACACTACTCAATATTGTCTATAAAAATAATACAACTACAAAATGAGAAGAATGATTATTAATGAAGAAAATGTGTTGAAAAATAAATATATTCAATTATATTAAGGATTGTGGAGTTAGAATCTTGTACAATATCTAGTTAATGCCTTATTTTTTCTACAAAATTCTAACCTTGTTTTACAATAGATATTTGTTTAGTATCTAAAATTCACAAAGTCTTTGTCTTATTAGATTTAGAAACCTGAGCTTATTTTTTAAATGAAGACTTTTTTAAAAACTATAATATATCTTTAATAAAAAAATTAAATACATACTTGTAGAAATCATAGATGATCATCATTTATCTTCTTAAAATATTATGTATAAAACCATTTTTGTAAATGTATCAACAAATGATCATAATAATATGGAGATATTTAATATTATTAGATTTCTTTTCAATCTAATTACTTTAGGTTTATTATAATTAAAAAAATATAATCATCAAATAGATTATATTTTTAATAATCAAAATTATTTTTATATTATAATTAATACTATTATTAATCAAATATAAAATCATAAATCTAGTATAATCAAACTTTTAATTATAGAATTAAAATATATATAAAAGAAGAGACATCTTTTATTATTTATGTCATATCCATATTATATTTTTAACAGTAGAAATACTTTAAGTAGTATTTTAAGCCAATATCAATATTATCAAGATATTTTTGAAAAAAAAATGCACATATTTTTCTAAAACATTATCCTTATGATTATTCAAGTGAACTTTAAGAAGCAATTCAACTACCATTTGGACCAATCTTTAGCTTATCACAAAATTACTTGGCTTCATTTAAAATGTACAATGTATATTATATCTTAATCTTAGAAAAAATTGTCAATGTTTAGTAATATTATTTGAGGTAAGAACTACTTTTAAAGGTGATAACTTTTTATATAAGTTGTCCATATAGCGCATATGTGTCACGGATATATACCTACTGTAATCGTTACTTTGATAGGTAGAATTAAGTAAAAGTAGATTAATTTCCTAATACCTTCTAGAAAAGCTTCTTAAAAGCTTTTTAGACACTGTTTTGATTTTATATATGTTTGTAGTTGGTTGATAGGTTAGAAACTTGGTCAACAAGCTATCTATGTGCCACATATATTGGTAGCTTACAGAACAAGCTAACTATAAGGCAGCCATATAGAAAACTTGCTTTACAAGTCAAGATACGTGTTATGCAAAGTCAATATGTTTTTGAAGGTCCTATAGAATGTTGCCACATAGATCTTAGGTAGATAGTGTATAGAGAGGTAAGAGTGAAGCCTTCTTCATTCTTATCAATTCCTTTCTTGCTTCTAGTCTAGATTCAAGAGTTTCTAATTTCTTTGTCTTTAAACAATAGTCATTCTAGTTTCCTTTTAATATACATACTTCTTTATTTTCATTTTATTATACTTGTTTATTTACTTTCATCAAATTCTTATCCTTCACACATTCACAAGAGTACACTTACAATATCAAAGTTTTGTCTTTTCTTAAAAGTGGATTACTTTTTTTTTTTCTTTTTCCTAAGACATTAGCATATTAAAAGTTACGGATTACCTTCTTTTGAACTAATATTGTTTTAAGTATCTTCTTTGATGTTTAGTCTTCTCTTCTATAAGATTTGAGTAAAATTAGATATTTTTCTTGTAAGTATTATTATACCACAACTTGTTGAAATAAAAAGTGTAATAGCTCAAATACAAGAACAATTGAAAGAATTAATGCTTGCAATATATTAACTTAGTTTACCACTACAAGGAGCAACAAGAATGGCAAGAAGTAAAGATATAGATATGATTGAAGTTGCTTCAACATCTGCACCAAATCATGTCCCTTCTCCTATAGTGGAACATCTTTTTGATACTAAGAAACCAAAAATTATTTTTCTTAAGAAGTTTAATGGCACAAAATCTAAGTGTACAATTGAATCTATGAAAGAAGTGTACAATTGAATCTATGAAAGTTTTTTAGCAAATTTTTGATCCATGTATGGAGAACATGATGCAACTCGTATTACAACCAATAAGATCCATATTTTGTAATAAAGCAATCGATCCATAACATTATATGCTTCACAATTTTGATAACTTACAATTCATATTAAATGAGATGCTATTGTATTTATTAGCCAATTTTTCTATAGATTATAATATGAGGTAAAGAAATTGATGTTCAACTTACTTGATCTTCAAATATTGAGTTAAGCAATTGATCTTGTTGTGAAGTGTAAAAATCGACTTTTTGAATTTCGATCTGAGAGTCAGATAAGTGTGCCTCAACATTACTATAATTCAATGGTAATATCAATGCTTCCTCAACACGTTGGTATTGCCATTGAATTATTTAGAAGTCATAGATGGTTGTATGTTGTCTTTTAGAGATGTTATTCACAAAACCCTTTCTATAGAAGTAATAATTAATGGTCATAATAGTTTTGTAGTATTTAATATCATTAGATCTCTGTCTAATCTAATCATTTTAGACTTATTGTAATTAAAAAATATAACCCTCGAATAGATTAGATTTCTTGTATTTTTAAAATTTTTAAAATATAATTAAGAGTGTAGTTAATCAAGTAAAAAATCATAAGTCTTGTACAATTAAACTTATGTTTGTAGGTGCAAGTGCTTTCTTACATGCTTCACAAAAAAGATCACCTTTTGTCATTTATGCCATATCTGTTTCTAATAGTGCAAAGACTTTAAGTAGCATTTCAAGCCAATATTAAGAATTTCAAGAAATATTATTGAAAAAAAGTATATGGATGCTGTTCTAGAACATCATCCTTATGTCACGGACACAAAATACAGACTTGAAATTTAACAAGAAGTTCAAGGAGAAGTGGCAGAGCTAGATTAAACAGATGAGTACAAGAACAACACCAGAAAGGTGAGCTAGAACTCCAAGAGATGTGTTGTCGAGACTGAAGAACTCTTCAGCCTCGATCTCTATATATACTCCTACTTAGGAAGCTTCTCAAGCTACTTCTATTAACTAGGAAGCTTCTAAAAGGTTCCAGAGGCTTCCTTTCTAGAAGGTTCTAGAAACTTCTCGAGCTACTTCTATTAACTAGGAAGCTTCTAGAAAGTTCCAGGGGATTCTTTTCTAGAAGCTTCTAGAAACTTCTCTTCAAGAAGGTTCCAGAGACTTCCCTTCTAGAAGCTTCTAGAAACTTCTCTCTAAAAGGTTCCAGAGGCTTCTCTTCTAGAAGGTTCTAGAAACTTCTCTCTAGAAAGTTCTAAGGAATATGTCCCTAACATCACCCCCTCCTTTAGCTTCGAGGTCTCTGAGAAGCAATGTTGTTGATCAATACCAACACAAGAAAATGAAGATCTGTCGCATAACTTCTGCTATGAACTCCAACTGTTGTTCACGAGGCAAGTGGTTCATCGACCCTTGAAGCCAACGGTAGTGGCCCACGCCTTCGACTTCTGACCAAGCATGAACTTCCGTGTCCTCATTGTGAAATTGTCCTGCAAACACGCCTTCTGGTTGACCATCGTAAGCAGGCTCGATCTCAAATACGATCACCAGTGATCGGTTACTCGATATCCTCCGTCTT